CTTCTACATCGTCATCTTCCAGACCATTCGGTAATCTTCCCTCTCCTACCAGTAAGTCTCTCCTAATAGCGCCGCCCTGCTCAACATACCCTTCCAGTCTCGCAGGCTAGTGTATTTGCGAATCATTTATTAGTTCGTACGATGTTTTTGGGAGCATGTTTTTCAAAAGTTAATACTTACATTCTTTAGGGCCTCCTCATTCATCATCTGGATTTCGTCGATCTCACCCCCGACAACGCAGGCGCATAATGTCAATGGAGTCTGGACACGACGACAACGAGGATGACGGGTATCATGGCCATCATGAGCATGTTCTCTACAGCCCGAACAGTTCCGAGTCATCACCAGAGGTGGAGGAGGCCTTGATCCGACAGATGCAATTTGTCAGAGGCTCTTTAACGACGAAGATGGTGGCTTCCCAGCTGACGCTCCAGTCTCTCGTGAGCATCAAGCTTGAGGACTTGGCAGAGACAGACCGAAGTACGACATTCCTTCCCATCGAAATTGATTCAAGCTAACATGCTCCAGGTTGCGTGATTTGCTATAACGAATATGGCGTTGATACTCCAGAAGGTATTAAAGAGGCTCCCCTCCGTCTACCTAAATGTGGACATGTCTTTGGCGACCACTGCATCAAGAAGTGGTTCGAGGATTCGGATAGTTGCCCATACTGTCGAGACAGACTACATTCAGAGCCTAAGGCACAGACAAATTCGTCCGCCACCGCGTTCCTAAGCTTGATGAGAAATAGAGGCGCGAGCATTCATCCAGTGTGAGTATAAATTGAAAGAAGGAGGAACACGAACACCTTGTCCCCTTGATCAATCAACTGACTTGGGCAATAGGATGGCAGCAAGTGGCCCGCATGATGAGGTTCTGGCACGGGCAATTATGGCCACGTATGGAGCCTCAGACCCGCTGAACAACGGCTCGCCTCGATATTCTGCGCAAGTACCTGGAGAGGGAAGGCCGCCGCCTAGAGAAGGTATTGAACACCAGCACCGTCGACTTCGAACCCGGTACGGCAGTTCATCCACACGTGACAGCTTGGCCTTGCCTGAGAATCGCAGCCAGGCAACGTCGACATCCTCACAGCCTGTAACGGCTGGTTCTGGTCTATCAGCCATACCGCAGCAAACCGAAGGTCCCCTCACAGAGAGACAGATACAAGAGTGGACAGGTGTACCCACCCAGAACGCAAGCGATGGGTCGACGACGATCCGGGGTCACAACGCTGAAACCGAATCATCGACTGAAGCAACGCCAGTAGTCTTGCCAATCTCACCTTTATATGCAACACAAGAGGATGAAGCTCAACACTCGAATCTGAGGACTCTTCGAAACCCATTACAAACACAGACGAGTTCCCCATTTGAGGGTCTGGGGAACAACGAAGCGGCACCAGATATGACATATCACGGCAACCGCAATTGGTAATGTGCCATTTTGTGACATAATCTTGACTGTATCTCCCGAAATAATTGGAAGAAAGGGTGGCGGGGCAAAGAACGATGAAGAACAGATGCGTTTGCGTTAACCTGGTCGGCCGCGCAAAGGCTAATGGCTCCTTGGAGTACGGGATCGCAGTCGCAGCACAGTAGGTGGACTTTTGATATGGAGATTCGGGACTCGCATAATACATGAGGTCAGAGGCCTTTTGGCACGAGTTGGCGTTGAGTATGATGCTATGGTCAAGGTTGAAAACGCACCAGATCAGGGGATTTTTGGCATGTTTCTGGTTGATACCACCAATGATTGATTGAGAGGGAAGAGTTTTGATGGGGCACATGCAAAGAGACTGAACTGTTCACTGCTCCGTATCCAGTCATCAGCAGGTAGGTGACCTATCACTGTAGCGGAATTAGCGAAAATATCAAATGAAATACTTTACATAGTAAGCGCTGTGCTCCCAAAGACCCTTGCTCAGCTTATGGAGCCAAGAATGCCTGCCGATCTCCTCCATCGGATTTCCATTGAAGCGTCCAGCTCCGCAACTTATACTAGAATGGAACTAGCGCCTTGATGTCTCCGCATCAAGAGTTGGTCGGTCGGGGTTTTTGTTGTATCGATGATGCCGTTGGAACGGTGCAATGTTGATGACCGACTCGGACCGTGTGGTGCGTCCGTTTATGTCTCTGACGGTTCGAGTATCTCATGGAGCCTTGGATGTTTAGGCCTCCCCACTACGCTGAAGATAGACGAATCGCTTATAAGACCATTCCCTGTCACTGTACCCCTTGAGACGCGCAACTGTCGCCATTGCATGTGTTTTCCTACGTTCAACCTTAGTTTCATAATCCGGCCTCTTCAATTTTCTCCCTCTTTCTTCATTCTCATCTAAACACAGATATCATGGGGCTACCATGGGAGCGTATCACTGCCACCGCTGCTATAGGTACCTTATCGCTCGCATGGGCACAGAACAACTGGGTGAGACTTCAACTCTTAGGACTCTTCACAGAGCTTTGGATTGCAAGCCTTGCTATCTTTGGCGTCTGGACAGTATGGATATATCCTTTATTTGTGTCTCCCTTGAGACATCTTCCTGGACCTTCCGGGAACCATTGGTTCATGGGTCAAGCGCAGAAAATCATGGCCGAACCATCAGGTGTTCCAATGCGAGAATGGTTCGTTGGCGTATATCTTGTAACGAATTCGAGATGACGGAAATTTTACTAATCAGCAATGGCGTTTAGGGCTTCTAAGATTCCCAACGATGGTCTACTCTGCTATCGTGGGTTTTTCAATCAAGAGAGAGTGATGGTCTGCTCACCCAAAGCCTTGGCTGAGGTACTTAGTACCAACAGTTATGCTTTCCCGAAACCCTCTCATTTTCGATGGTCCATTGGTCGTATTCTTGGAATTGGCATCTTACTTGCGGAGGGAGAGGAGCACAAGATGCAGCGCCGCAGCTTGACACCTGCATTCGCCTTTCGTCACATCAAGAATTTATACCCAGTCTTCTGGAGTAAGGCCAGGGAAGTGACACGCACCATGATGGCAGAGTTCGGTGGGGAGGGAGAGGGAGAGGTCCATGTCGAAATATCCAGCTGGGCATCACGAGCCACACTCGATATTATTGGTCTTGCTGGGATGGGTCGGGACTTTGGCGCCATTCAAGACCCTCAAAACACTCTCGCTCAAACATACAAGCAGATATTCAAGCCTTCGCGCCAGGCTCAGGTCCTCGCTTTTATTGGCATGATTATCCCCATGCAATTCATCACAAAGCTACCTTTCCGTCGAAACGAGGATATTGCTAAGGCAGCAGCCGATATCCGGGCGGTTTGTCGAGATCTTATCCGTGAGAAGAAGGCAAAAATTGCCAATAAGGAGCAAGCAGATGTTGATATACTATCGGTCGCTCTTGAAAGTGGTGGTTTCACTGACGAGAACCTGGTTGACCAACTCATGACATTCCTCGCTGCAGGGCACGAGACAACAGCTTCGGCAATGACCTGGGCAATATATATGCTCTCGAAACATTCCAATATTCAGAGCAAGCTACGGGACGAAGTCCGCGAATATCTTCCCTCTGTGGATTCGGACGTTGATATCACAAGTCTCGACATAGACCGCATGCCATACTTGAATGCAGTGTGCAGCGAGGTTCTACGATATTATGCCCCTGTCCCGTTGACAATGCGCGATGCCGCCTATGATACCACCATTCTGGGCCATTCAATCCCCCGCGGCACACGTGTTGTCATTGTACCGTGGGCTACTCATTTTGATACAGAGCTCTGGGGCCAGGATGCGGGTCAATTCAAGCCAGAGCGGTGGCTCCCATCGGGTGGAGAGAGTGGTTCCGCTGACCGCAAAGCAGCGAGTGGCGGAGCGAGCAGCAACTACGCGTTCCTGACTTTCTTGCATGGCCCACGGAGTTGCATTGGATCCAGTTTCGCAAGAGCAGAGTTCGCATGTTTGCTAGCGGCATGGATTGGTCGCTTTGAGTTCACCCTTGCGAACCCTGAGGAGATGGATGAGAAGAAAGTGGAAATTCGGGGCGGTATAACGGCCCGGCCCGCGAAAGGTATGCATGTCAATATTAAAACAGTGAGCGGCTACTGATATGATACGGGTCTATTTGTTTGGCGATTATGGGTCAGAAATTCGGTGTACAGTACAAAGCTTGATTTAAATTTATATGATATTATATGATAGTATTATGTTAAATAGGCGATATTGCGTGAGATGGTAAATTCGCGAGGTGGGTGTGTGGATGCAATTATCAAGCCGTTCATTCACGTTGCGGCTTGTCTCAGCTAACGGGTAGGGATGGAACGGCTCGCAGACACTATTCTACGAACATTCTCAACAAATTAGTGTTGGTTCTGCCTGGCTTGTGGAAAACGAGGCCTTGCTCGTCCATGAACATTGTTATCCAATGAGGAAGAGTTGCAATGAGAGGCCAAAACTGTGAGACAATCAACAAAAGAGATCCTGAGTATTGGATATCGTACAGGGTAGGCTCCACCTCGTAGCCTGTAAGAACCGACACCGTCTGCATGTGTGACTGCATATGACTGCCAACTGGCAATGGATCTACGATGTGGATATTACGACGGCGCTAGCCAATGTGTGGCGGCCTGAATGAGGTATTCAGATTGTCGAAGCACTTTAATTAAAGCCAAACGCCCACGACATCAGCCCAAGTGTGATAAACCTAGAAGTTGTCTCTTACAACGTACCCATCAAGTGTACCTATGCACAATTCAAGATTTGAGAATTAGCGCCCACGCCTCCTCCCATAGCAAATGGCTCATCACCCAGCCCAGAAGGCCAGATCAAATTTAAAATCGCGACAATCCCCACCCACCTATTCTATTTCAGCTTGACCAACGACGTGCGACCCCAGCCACCGCCTGTTTTGCGGGCCGCGGCGGACGGGCCCCATGAAAGCTGGCAACGAGCTCCCGAAAACAAAACACCATCAAAACATCACGCTCAAGAACCCCTTCGACGAATCTCGCAACGCTGGTAGACCGTAAACCGGCACAATGCAGCGAGACAATCGCTCTCGGGACCCCGAGGGATCTCGCCGCCGGTGGTACGAGTCTCGCGACCGTGATCCGAGAGATCAGGGAGATTCGCGTCAGCAATCATCGCTGCCATCGCAACAACAATCACAACATCCACAACAACCATTACCGCAAATGTATCAACAACACTCTCAGCAACGAGCATATGACCCTCGACGTTATGAACAATCCCCTATGTATCAACAGTCACCACAGTATCCGCAATTTCCACCACCTCCCCAGCAATATCAACAATCGCAACGCTACTCCAGCGCGCCGCCTCAGCCAGTGCCGGGACATAATCACTCTTATCAACCACAGCATAATTCACAACGACCACAGACACCTTCAAGTGTTTTCTCGTCCTCGAGTGACACATCGACATCACTATTAGATATCTCGCGATACAAGGACACGAAACAGTTTGGTGGTGTTTTTGGCACATTTTTTAAGGCGCCTTCGGACCGGGTCAAACAGCGTCTTCACAGAAAGAAGAAACAGAAGCGTCGTGTGCTCTACTTTGGAAACTCATCATCATCTTCTGTGAACTCTGACCTAGCCTACGGACAGGGATACGTCCGGCAACCAAAAAGCCGTACACTAAGCCCCCGAAGTCAAAGCCGTGCCTCTGGCCAAGGCTATGCCTTTTCCCCAGGTCATGGTCCGACTCAAGGACATCGACGGCGCAGCTCAGGGGGGTCTGATCGCGCATCGCGACCCACGCCTCGGAAGAAGACTGCCGATGAGGAGATAATGGCCCTTGGCCAGCAACTCTCTGACTTAGCACGGCGGTCCAAGGAAGACGAGCAACGCCTATCCAGCCGAGGATCAGGCAAGGGTAAGGCGGCTGCTCTAGGACTTGCAGCCGGCGCAGCTATGGCATCTGGTTATGGCCGGCACAAACACGGCTCACGGGGGTTGGGTAGCTCAAAGCAGCGCGTCGATACCTCGGATGATGACTCAGACTGGGAGGATGCCTCTGACAATGAGTCGTCTAGTAGTGATGACGCTGGCTCAGCTGCAGACTCAGAGCTTGCATATGGCATCGTCGGCGAATCTATCAAGCCCGCAGTCGGTGCTGCAGCGGCTGCAGGAACTGCATCTGCCACAACCGCTATGGCTGGGTCTAGAAGGCCCTCAGGTCAAAGCCCAATGTTTGACTCTCGGCGATATGGAGACCGGGGCTCTATCGTTGACCCTCGCCTTTTTGGCCCCTACAACTCTCTTCGAGGCTCAATTAATACTCCATGTGGCTTCCGGGACGAGGAACAGGCTGCTGCATACCGTCGCGATTCTGCTAGCCTAGAAGCTGGTGGACCAATTCATATGCGAGATGTGTACCCCGCCCCCATCTCTGGAACCTACCGATTCGACGGAGATCAGTTCCCAATGTCTGATGGGCGCCTGGATTCGTCGACTCGACCCGCGCCGGTTCCCCTGCAACAGCCGGTTCCCAAGCAGGCGGTTTCATCAAAAGTTTATAATGCCGAAAAATTTGATGACATAAACCGCAGGGAGCCTCGGCAGCGCAAATCCGAGCAGCCAGATGGAAAGAGCTGGGCAGGAGTTGCTACGGCAGGTCTCGCAGCAGCGGCGGTCGGTACGGCTATGGTGTCTTCAGCATCCTCGCGAAAAGACAATTCTAAGAATCATGATAGTGGGGAACATGACCGTGCTAATCGAGACCGTCGTGAGCAAAAGCTCATCGACCTAGAGCGCCGGAAAGCCCTAGAAGCAGAGGAGCAGAAACTCAAAGAGCTAGAGCATGCGAAAGCCCAAGAGTTGGAACGGCGAAAAGTCCAAGATCCGGAACGTCAGAGGCTCGACTGGGAACAACGCCTAGCCCACCATACCCAGCGACAGGAAACATTGGAGGATGAGCGCGAACGAAATGTGAAATGGGAGCGTGACTACCGTGGATCGGATCCCGAGCCTATCTTTCCCAGGTATAACGACGAGCAAAAATCTTCACGACGATATGATCATGACGATACCCCCAAGGATAGAATGGAGAAGAAGAATGTTGGTGTTGTAGATGTGCCTCAAAGGGATCAGGGCGGAGTTGAGGCATTCCATATTGAATCGGGACCGGAGTTTAAAGTGTTACATGAACCTGTTGTTCAGGCCGACAACAGCGAGCGTGATGCGACTCAATATGGCCGTGACCTTCCTCTACCTATCGGCGCTGGCCATCGCCCTCTAAGCGACTCAACTCAACATGTGCATGAGACCATCGATCCCTTCCAGTACCAAGTTGCGGACGATGCGTTCACTGTGTCACAAAGAACCACACCTGGGCGCCCCCTTACACCTAATGTTGTCACCATTGAGCGCGAGCCTAATTTTGATGACTCACCGCCAAGTTCTTCAGCAGCCGACGCTCGGTTAAGCCGACGAGACTCGTTTGAGATTGAGCGTATGGTTGACGAGTATCGTCGTGAGACTCACGATCCACCACAACGTCGTGATACCCAAGTCGGTCATGAGTTTGAAGAGGACGAGCGAAAGGCCAAATCTATTCTTGATGAGGCTAAACATGCCACAATTCCTGTTGCAGCTGCCGCAATAGCATCCGCCGTTGCAGTCGAACATGAGCGGTCTCAAGAGCATGGACACCATCGCCAATCAAACGGTAGATCTCAAGATGGCTCAAGAGGTCGCAAAGACACTGTGCAGGAGGAAGCTGACAGGTTCTATCGTGAGGCCTGCATCGCCCGAAAAATCGCTTCTGACGAACTACGATCTCGAAGTGCATCCCCTGAGCGATCTGTCGTCGACAAGTGGCAAGAAGATAAGAATGACCCATTCACAATTGTCACACCGCCGATCATGGAAGACAAGCACCCGGACAAGAACATGTTTGATGGACCAGATGCAGATGTGAAGATTGATAACAAGATATACCCCCGGGAAGAACGCCATTTCCGAAACCTGGGTGATAATTCTTCTACTGTTGTTTTGAGGTCAAGAGAGCCTTCGCGAGAGCGTCCCGTCCTCAATCTGATATATCCTACTCCTGCTACAAGTCGCCAACACACGCCTGCTCCTCAAGCACAAGGTGTAAGGCAGGCGGATGATGAAGTACCCACGCCTGACGATGTCAGCATTCGACCTAAGGGCGAGATCATCTCTGCTGGCGAACTCGTGTCTGTTCCTAAATCTGTCAGCTGGGGCGAGAATGAGACGAAGAGCTTTGAAGTAGACACACCAGAAAACCGAAGTGATTCCGACAATTACTTCCCTACTGATAAATCGCCAGACAAGCCTAGGCCGAAGCTAAACAAGGCCAGTCGCTGGGGTATTCTTGCCGCGGCACTGGCTGGTAGCAGTGCCGAGCCACACAACGAACCTGATTTCGTAGTGTCATCCAAAACCTCAGATATCCCCAGAAGCTTTCCGGATGAAGCAAGCAGGGACATCTCTGTTCACCAGGCTGAAGACGTTTCCGGTGACGATGTGATGCACGAACCTCCAATCCCTGGGCCTAAACCTCCAAGCCCACATCCTCAACAGATGCCTGGCGGCTTTGCAGATGACTTTGAGTTTGCTGCTACTCTTGCTGCGGGCCTGAAGGATACTGGCTTCAACCCCGACATCGTCATTGATGACCCCTCCTACAGTCGGCGTGACTCTCCTCCAGGTGTCCAAGAGGCAAACGGTGATTTTCATGGCAGCACAAATGGCAGTGCCTGGTACAAGCGACCTTCCGCCGAGGCTGTTCTCGAGCCTAGAAATGATGACATCCCAAATCTTCTCCCCGAGCAAGGATTTATCCTCGGAGAGGTTGAGACCCCTCAGGAACCACCTTTTGATAAGCATGAAGGCGAACGTCACTTCGAGCCCGACTCGCCAAAGCCTGAAGATGTGCCACTTCCTCAAGACAGTTCTGGAACTTGGAATTCGAGCAAGCGAGACAAGTCCAACGTTGTCGTTGTTCAGGATGATGGAAAGATTGAGAACATCAAAGCGGAGCCGTCACCTTCAAGGGAGGTCGGTGAAGAGGTATGGGAAGATACCACTCGAAAGAGAGGGCAGAAGCATCGTAAGCGTCACGATCCCGATGACATGAGCCCAAGTATATCTTCTACCAATCACTACGCAAGTGACACACCTGCCAGAGACACCAGATCTGATCATGAATCTGAGCCGAGGAATGCCTTTGCAGAATACGATCGCAGCCAGAGCTTCGACGCCGCGGATATCGCCAAGGTAGCTGTGCCAGCTCTCGCGTTGGGTGCGCTTGCTTCCTCAAGTTCAAGAATTACACCCTCTCGTGACGTTCGCTCTGAAGACGAGCAAGACGCTCCCAGGAAGTCGCACAAGCCTTGGAATGACGACGATTATTACTATGACGACAACAGGTCTCGTGTCTCCGCCCCTGTGCAGCCTTCGCACCATCGCCATTCATCTCGAGACATATCCTCCCGAGACGTTCGATCAGACGATGAGCGAGAAGATCACAGGCATCCAAGCAAGCATAGAAAGGATCGCGATTCTCGCGACGATGCGAGATATCGGGATTCTTCTACACTGGACCCCACTGATCAACGGTCTATAAGACGATCAGCATCTCGAGATCGTTCAAGAGATCATAGGTCTAGAGAAAGGTCCAGAGATAGGTCACGGGATAGAACAAGAGATCGGTCCCGAGATCGATCTCACCATCGGGATCGATCTCACCACAGAAGGCCTGATGATGATGAGCGGCCAAAAAGATCGAAGCGCCACACCTACAGCAATGACTCCCCAACCCGGTCATTAGTTGCTTCCGAAATCTCTGTTGGTAGTTCAAGCAGCAAGAGAAGCAAGAGGTCGAAACGAAGGAGTGGAGCCGAAGAGGATTTCGACGACAGCAGAGAGAGCCCATCGGATCGAAGACGTGACTTGTTTGACGACCGAGATGTTAGCTCTGTCGTATCCGAGTCACGTGGAGATGACCACCGGCGTGAGAGCGGACATAGACGCAAGTCTTCGCGTTACGATGATGATGACGACGTGAAATCGGTTGCATCCATGCCTGGGTCATCCCGCCGGGACAAGGAGTACAAAGAACGCAGAACCCCTGAGAAACGACCAAGCAACAGTGTTCTTTCTAGCCTCTTCAAATCGCGCAAGGATAAGAAGGATTCTTTTTTAGATAATGCCGACACCCTTGGCGCGGGTGTCGGCTTAGCGAGTGCAGCGGCTATTGTTGCGTCTGATGCTGCTCGTTCCAACGCCGCTGAGACCTCATCAGAGCACGAGAATTCTGTCTCTCGTGATGGCCGGCCTCGTGCGCGCAGCTTCGAACTGGTTGACCCCGAAGTCGTGCCCCGTGTTATCAAACCAGCCATTGACCCTCAATATGGCGACCTCCTTCCTTTACCTCCCAGCGAACCAACTAGCCCTTCTTCTGGCCCGGAGGAGCTACCCCCTCTTCCTGACAGCAGGCCTGACACCCCCCCCGAGGAGCGTATCATACGGCGGGATTCACGTACCCATCAGCGACGTCGTAGCGTTTTCGACACGCCCACAAAATCACCTAGCCGAACCGCTGTTCCTATCGCCCTTCGTTTAGGTAACAGGTCAAACCCCGCCTCTCCCGTTAGCTTCAAGGCATCCCCCGCGAGTTCCCCTATAACGTCTCATTCCGATGCCGTAGTCATGTCAAGGCGAGCAGCTCGACCAACATCCTGGGACAACAGTAGAGAAATCATGCCACTGTATCTTCTTGAACACTCACGACACCAACAACCTACTACTGGGTCAGTGCTACCTGCGCTCCCACCTAGTGAACCTAGCGAGACTTCTGCAAGGAACTCACCCGAATCCGAGTTTCTCAAGCACAGTGACGATTATTTCGGCTCTGGTCTTGATTTTGCCGGCCCTGATCTTCGTGTTGATACCGAGTTATCGGAGCAGCATCCTAAGGACTCTGTGGCAGGGTCTCAGGAAACAACGCCTCGCGCGGAGTTTATGCCTACGCTTCCAGGCTCTTTCTCCTCTGATACTGCCGGAGAGCATGAGAAGGAACCAACAACTTATCTCCCGATGCCTGCAGATGTCATCAGCAGGGAAACGGAAACCGATGTCTCTGCTGCACCGTTGCCCTTTGACGCTTCTGCTACGGCTGTTCCTACCACCCTGGCTTCTCATGGTCTCTTGGAAGGCCAGCAACAAACTCGCCCACCTGCAGACACAACAGATAACCTGGCATCTGCTGATGAGCATCTCTCGGACGCTCTCGAGGGTCACCCAGAGCAGAGGTCACCTGGAGAAGCTGTGTTGAAGTCTGCCGCTGAGCCTACTATTGAGCCTGCTACTAAGCCTGCTACTGAGCCTGTCGCTGAGCCTACTATTGAGCTTGTCGCTGAGCCTGTTGCCGAGCCTGTCGCTGAGCCTACCTATGAGCCTGCTACTGAGCCTATTACTGCAGCCACGAGTGAGACTGCGCACAATTCTTCTACAGTTTCCGCTGAGGCTGCCACGTCCAAGCAACCTGTAAATCCTGAAGAAGATCAAACTGTTGGTGCGAATGATGAAGTTCTTGAGCCTTTTCTTGCAGATTTCTTGGTAGAGGATAGCACCAAAGGGCTCGCAGTTAGGCACGCAGTTGAAGATGTCACAGCCCTGTCTCCAGAACTTCCGTCAAAAGCAGTTGAGGAAGCGAGCCCTGAGATGGTTGAGCTTTTCAAAGACCAGAACGTCAAAACTGTTATCGACACTACTTATGAAAACCCCGCATTCACCAGAGCACCGGACAGCATATTTGCCACAGACCCCATTGTTGAAGCAGTTTCAGGAACTGATTCCACTACAAAGTCCGCTGCCCAACCTATGGAAGAGAAGCGAATTGCCGATATTGCTCGCGACATCAACACCGGGATGACCAACCCTGATATCGAGCCTCAATCAGTACCAGCTGTTGTTGCCCATATGGAGCCTGCTACTCAAGACTCGGAAACACTGCTCGTAAACCCTGGGGACGCTGTTACCCATCGTGCAGAAAATGAGATTACTACCGACGAGTGGTCAACCATGAACGCAAAGGATAGGAAAAACATGAAGAAGAAACTTAAGAAGAAGGGGCTTGAACTGATCATCCAAGACTCATTCAACGTTCCCGTCGCTGCTGCTAGCAAGGATGATAATGCCGTCCTAGGCGACCAGGCTGTGGTAGCGAATGAAGCTTCTGAAACAAAGCCGGCTATGCTTGAACTCGAGCCCACCCACGAATCTACACCTCAACCATCTCAAGATCCTTCTGCCGACCTTTTCGCCACTGAAGCCGCGAAGCCCCAAGAGCCTGAGGCTTCGCATGAGGAGCAGCATACGATCGCACAGCCTGAAGAAGTCCAGGAAGTCGTTGAGCAAGACAAACCAGTTAATTCGAACTTATTGGTGGACCGGGAAGCGGAAGAGCCATCAGGAGGGCTAGACACCGCAATCGAATCTATGGTACCATTAATAGAGCCTGAGCCCGTAATCGAATATTCTGCCAATACTCAAGCTACCGCAGAATCGACTTCCATCACTGCTTCGCCTGTCGCAGAAACGGTCCTTGAAGAGCAACTGGTGTCTCCATCCCAAAGCAAGAAGAAAAAGCAGAAGAGCAAGATTCAACAGCCATCCAAAGAGGAAGCAATTTCTGTAGAGTCAACAGTCACCGAGGTTGAAGGCACAGGTCCAGCTGAAATTTCTGAAGCTGAAAAAGAAGCGTTTGATGCATGGACGGAGCCAGTCGCGGTTATTGAACCCTCTGCCGACCCATCTGAAACAGTTGCCCATGTTGACTCAGGTTCTGTGGCGGAAACGCTCACAGAGATCACTGTTGAGCCTGTCGATGCAGATGCATTCGATGCCTGGACCCAACCAGATACCATGGCTGAAAGCCAAGATGCTCCAGAGAAGACACAGGATAAATCTACAAAAGCCTCCGACCCGGCCTCCGAATCGCCCACTGTATCAACACAGGGTGACAGCGCCGCTACGCCCAAGTCAAAGAAGAAGAAAAAGAAGAAGAAGGGCGCCAGAGCCGATGATGAGCTAGTGGTGGAGAAACAAGAGATGCCTCAAACAGGAAAGCCTCTTCAAGTTGGGGACACTGGAGACAATGAAGTGATTAAGGATGTCAAAAGAAGTTCGATGGAAGAGTCGCCCGTCGTGGTAGCCGTGCCCACCGATGTTATTCAAGACAAAGAGGTCCCGAACCCACAGCCTGTTTCGTCACCAAAAGATACTGATCAAGTTCTTGATCGTGGAAAGGCTTCTCCAGTTGAGGCTCCCGAGCCTGGCGACCCTGAGTCAAAAGAGGATATCGACTATCATCCGACCGTTCGTGATTCCCAGACTGCCGCCAAAGATGCACGAAAAGACAGACAAAGTCAAGGGTACTTCCCATCTGCTCTTCGGGCACTCCCCGCCACGGCTGGAATTTCCGCTTTCAAGAGAATGTGGGGATTCCGGGACCAAGCGCAGTCACAAAATAAATCAAGCGAACCTGAATCTGATGCTCAGACCCAGCCTGATGCAGTAAGTGCTGATAAGTCAGTGGCAACAGGCACTAGGTCTGATATTGTCACACCAAAACTTGACCGTGACGTTCCCAGGGATAAAGAGACTACTAGCGCAAGTGCTAGAAACCCAGAAGTTGCCGACGTCGAGCCAGACTTTCCCACTGTTGATACCGCCCCCGATACGCATGCCAACAAAGCGAGTGGCACCACATTATTAGAGCCTCAGATTTCTGAACCACTTTTCTCGCAAGGAGATGCACCGGCAGACGAGTCTCAAGAAACTTCTTATGGACTGAAATTCTCCCAAGTCGACGAATCAGTCAAGGCTACAGGGGATGCTCACCGCGACATCTTTGCTGAGGATGAAGTGACTACCACCACGGACAGACAACTCACCGAGACAGCCCCAATCTCGGCTGTTGAGGGGGACTCCGCCGAAACGTTGAAAGATGATGTCATAGGTCATCTGGCAACCAGCGTGGTGGCCGCAACAGCTTCTGCTGATATCAAGTCCGACGAGATCAAACAAGAAGATTCCTCGACGACAGCTACGGCTGATGATGTTAAGCCCCCAGTACACGAAGCTACTGAGGCTACGTACAAGGATTCAACAGTGCCAGCTCGGGCTGATCTTGGTCAGCTTGTCAAAGAAGAGCCTATTGTTCCGGTTGAGGATGAGCATGTGAGACTTGAGGAAGCAGGCTCAGAATTGAGCACAAGGCCTGTAGAAGCCAGCACTGAAGAAGTGGCCGAAGGAGATGCCAGCAAGACAACTGAAGGAGAGAGTGCAAAGTCTAGCGCGGAAGCAATTGGCGAAACTAACGAGGCCAACGCAACGGGATTGAAGAAGAAGGCTAAGAAAAACAAGAAGAAGAAGAAGAACCAACCTAGCCAAGATGAGGCTCCAGAGCAAGAGACCGAAGATACTACGCTCGTTAAAATCAGCCAGGATGTATCAGGTGCCGAAACAGTAGTAGTGTCTGGCAGAAAGAATTTTGATATTCTGGCGCCAGATCTCATGGCTGAATCTTCCGACTCTATTGTTGAAAATACTTTCCTCGACCAGAAACCTGATGACGAGTCGACACATGGCGTACTGGACACATCAGGAGTTAAGGATCGACCACAGTTTGATCGGCCAGCCAAGAACGAATCCTTGGATACTGCTTCAGTGGGATCGCAAACCAACGAACGGTTGCAGACCGATGATAAGTTGTCTGAGCATGGCCATAAGGAAATGCTGTCGAGTGACGCCGAGCCGGCTGAACCCGAGATCAAAGAACTACCACAGATTGATGACCGCTCAGCGGGGCATCACGTTCCGGATCAACTTGGGATCAGAAAAGAGGCCGTTGAGCCTAAGGTCGAAGAACTAGCGCACATCAGTGACGAAACAACTAAATCCGAGCTGAAAGAACAGCTGCAAGCCGATGGCCAATCATCTCGGCCTGAAGCTGAAGAACAGCCCCAAATCGGTGATGAATCGTCTGAGGTTGTGTTTAAGGAACGATCGCAGACCGATCTCCCAATGGGGCCCGATACCGAAGAACAGACACCCGCATTTGACAACTCGACTGTTCTTGATATCAATGATGAATCACAAACAGCAGGTGTATCAGCTGGGCCTGAAATAAGAGGCGAGGCACAGAGTGAGAAACCAGTTAACGAACGTTCACTAGATGAGCTACCACCGGCCACAGATGATGGTTCCCCTCAACTTGCTCTTGATGAAGTCCTGCCACCAAGGAGACCGGATGCTCCTCCGCTGGAAGTGGAAGCCGTCAAGGAAGAACCCTCTCTCGCAGCTGGGAACTTTGAGGTGGAGAGCGAGAAGGCAGAGATCGAAGCTCTCCTCGAGAAGAGAGTGAGGAGGAAAGGGCGACTTTTGAAGAAGGATCAAGTACGTCTTGCTGCTCTTGAAGAGAGTGCCGCTCAAAGGCTAGCGGCATCAGCTGTCCCTGAAGTCCGAGAGCAAATTTCCGAGAAACCGGCGGACATCAGCAATGCTGAAGGATCCCAACATGAGTCTGAAACAATCGACACATCAAAGAAGGCTGTGAGCATTTTAGACGATGACAGACTGCACTCAACTGAGGAAGTGCCTACCGCCAGGCCTCCCGATGTCGTCAAAGTCCGCGCCACCGAAGTTTCGACTGAAAGTGAGACTCGAGATATTGGACAACCGACCGAGACTACCGAGGCGGCAACGTCTCTGCCGGCCGTAGAAGTGACCGAGGAAAACATTGATGTTATTAACACGGCTGTGACTACTAAGCCTCAAGATGCTATAGAAGCTCCTGAAGGCAACACTTCAGAGCTGACGAGCACTAAGAAGTCAAAGAAAAAGAAGAAGAAGAAATCGGTCTCTCTTGTTGAGAACGACGAAGTTCAAGGTGCAGCGACACAGAACAGTGAGCCGCCTGTCGTACTATCTGAGCCCTTGCGCCTCGATGAATCCACAACCAGCGTCAACGAAGTACCGGTTGCTGAACCGACTCCCGAGGACGTCTCAAATGAAGCGCCATCAAAGGATTCCCAACAGCCTGACATACCTCCTGTGAACCATCCCTTGGAGTCTGTAAACGAGAGTACGGCCATTGAAGTCGACCCTGAAGCAAATTCGGCTGCTATTGTGGAAGAGGCCGAGCTAGAGATCTCATCCGTTAAGAAGAGCAAGAAAAAGAAGAAGAAGAAGACTGCCGCTTCTGACGAGCCAGAGAAGCAGCCTGAAGCCGAACCCACTCTCCAAGAATCTCCCGAGTCAACTTCTAAAGACTTGATCTCTGATACAGCCAAGAACTCTGCTCCGCAAGAAGCACAGTCCGACGTTGGCCCGACTGCAGAGTCAAGTGGTATGGAACCTACAGAAACGACTGCCCATCAAGATGAGCCGTCGGCTCCTATGGAGTCGGAAGTGATAAACACTGTCGAGACTACCCCAGTAGATGATGAGCAGACTCAGCCAGCTGATGCCAAGACCACCGTAGAAACCCCTTCTGCCAAGGAGCCAACACCAGCCACCGACAAGCCTGATATTGTAGCACCCGATGAGCCTCCCTCCGAAAATCCTCCCGAAGTCGAGGAACCCGATTCACCGGCGAAACTGTCAAAGAAGGACAAGAAGAAAAAGAAGAAGGCCGAAAAGAAGAAAGCTGCTCTTGAAGAAGCCCAGGAAACTGAAACTGAGGCTGGCCTTGCTACCTCTTCTCAGGATGCTGACGTTTCGGTCGATACTGGAATCAATGTCCCAGCCGAAAATCCTCAAGCCGCGCACGATGAGACCCCTAAGCAGACCGATGAAAACGAGACACCTGATAGCGCGGTTCCTTCGGAGGATAAAATGACTCCTCCAGCCGACCATATCAATGTACCAGATACCGGTAATTCTGGAGAGCTTCCAAGCGAAGAACTAGCTGGTTCTGAAGACGAGCGGGGTGGGTTAAGCCTCAGTCAATCCCAGACCGACCAAAAGAAGAAGGCTAAAGACAACGATTTTGAAATCCTGCAGGACCCCGAGACCAACCGCCCAACGGAGCCGGAGATGATTCCGGATCCGGAAAAGCAGGACGACGCCGCCGCCGCCGTGGATAAGGCACAGAGCCAAGGATCTACGGAGGGCACAAAACGGAAGGAGGACACGAGCATAACTGGCGACCTTGAAGCCTATGTCGGGTCCGGGACGAAGCTGAAGCCAGAATCGGAACCGGGACGGGAACTAGGAGACAGAAAGGAATTTGCAGGCTTGTCAAAAAAACAGATCAAGAAATTGAAGAAAGTCCAGGCTCTGGCTGCTTTGGATTCCTCCCCCAAACCACAGACGCCCAAGGAAACCGGAGCCTCTGAAGAGGCACGATCGGAACCATTGGCTGAAGCTGGATTGGAATCTGAATCAAAGTCCCAGGCTCAATCCGAACCTGTTGCTCAAAGCTCTACCGAGGCAGATCCAGAGCCTGACTTTAAGGATGAGAAAGAAAGACTCCCGGAGATCGAGGAGATTGTACCTATAATTGAGCCCATCATTGAAGCTGAATCTGAGTCCAAAAATGAGACTCAATCTCTGGACAACAACAATAGTCACTCTCCGACTGGACAAGCGATTGCCAAGCCTGAAGCTGATGGCGCCATTCAGGGATCACAACTTGACTCCAAGCAGACAACCTCTGGACAGGATATCATTGTTCCTGCGTCGGAGGTTGATCCTGAGGATCAAGTTGCTAATTTTGGTAAAGACCCAATTACTAACAGTGCAATTGAGCAGAAGAGCGTGGTGGAAATCGATGCGTCATTAGAGTCTTGGGCTGTGCCAAGACAGACACTCAGAAAATCTGTTGATACGATTGAGGTCTGTGGCTCAGAATTTGAGGCGGGAAAAGAGGCCGATGCCGCAACCAAGCCAAATTTCACGGAAGAGCTCATCCAAGAAGATCCCTCGCCCTCTTTCGAAATGAAGAATGATACAACAGACAGCACACATGCCAGCCTATCTGAGGAAGCTGCCGCTTCTACGGTCTTCGAATCTCCTTTGTTGAATGAGCATGTATTGACAGACGCGCCTGTCGGATCCGAGGATGAAATTACTCCAGGACAAGCGATTGACGATAATACTGAGTCTATTCCACAGCTTCCTGAAGCTTCTGCAAACTCCTATTCGGACCTCGACTCTATCGGCGGTAACACTGATGCTCTACGTGGTTTCAAAAAAGGCGAAACAGATCATACCCGGGAACTCAGTGTCACAAACACAGCTGCTTCTGATATCGTTGCCTATGATGTCTTCACGTCCTCACCACAGCAGATTGCAACGAAGGCAGTTGAATCATCTCCCCTGGACATAGAGTCTTTCGAGGACCACCCTTCGCCGCCGGACACCGCTGAACAAGCGTCTGAGCGTCTGGAAATTCCTGATATTCCCGCTCAGCCCAACTGGCCAAACTCAACTTCTCAACAGGCTCATGACCAGTCGCATGCTTCGCCTATCTCGCTCACCGTTCAAGCGATTACCGGTGCATCCAGTTCAGAGATAGCACCTACAGCTACTTCCGTCTTTTCAGAGAATTCAGCAGACCCCAACCACGGTATGACCGGGGCCCTTGAAAGTTTGTCTGCAGCCGAGAAGAAGGAGTTGACGAAAAAGAAAAGGAACAAGAATAAGCAGGAGGGCCTCCATGAAGATGCCCATCAGGTGGAGGAGCCGAGCAAACCCGCAGATGTCGACATCGCTTCAAACCTCGCAGTCGTTCATAAGTTGCCAACACCTGCAAATCCTCCAGCAGACTTCGTGAAACCTCCTGCATCGACGTCTGACCCAAGAGCAGGATTGGGAATATCTGATTCCCCTGTGTCTGCCGCAGTATTCCAATCCACGATCCCTCTTCAGATTACTGCCGACATAGAAAATGAGGAACAAGATCAATTTACGAAGGAGATGACGACAAAGGCCTCTTCCGAATCTCATCATGAAGAATCCTCTTCTGAGCCATCTCATAGGCTTGCTATTTCTCATCGCGCACTCAAAGCAATGGATGGTGTAGGCGTCCAAGATTTCGAACCAGTCAATGAGGCCGATGAGAACCAAGTGGCCGAGGGTCTCGCGACGGCGCATCCGCGGTCTCGACAAACACCGGTGTCGATTTCGCCTGATTCTCCAAACCAGGTGATGGACACCACAGGCGATGAATGCCCTCATTCCTCAGGCGTTCAGCAAGCTGAGAATGAGTTTACCGTCGAGGAGTGGGCAGCCTTTTCTTCCAAGGACAGGAAGAAGATGAAAAAGAAGCTGAGACAGATAGGTCTCGACCCAATCATTCAGTCTTCCTTCGAACCAACTCATTCAACTGGCAAACCTCTGCCTGAACCTGCGTCTGAAACTAGCCTTCCTACATCTCAAATTGAACCAGTCAGTGGTAGTAGTGGTGGACAACTTGCGGAAGATCCGGAGGCGTCAATGATATCTACCAATAAAGATAATATTGGGAAGAAAACGACATTCGAGGTTCTCAATGATGGCATCCACGAGGGCATTCTCGCAGACGCAGTACCTGCACCTGAGACACGAACAATCCGCGAGACTACACCAGATCAACAAAAGCCGCTGAATGGTGATACGGGACCTTCTCCTACACAGGGAATCAGGAGGGAGCCGAGCAATGACACAAATACGGATGACGAAGCTCAGGCTTTGACCGAGACACAAACCATAGCAGAGACATACGCATTTTCTGGAAAAGAGCAACACACGCCTAGTGTGCAGGAAGATGTTCATGGTTCTCTAGCGCCCGAGAATGCAAACAAACATGAGCCGGGAAGCGATGGCGTGCCAATTCTATTGTCAAAATGGGAATCACCGCCGCTGAGTAAGGTGGATCAAGAAGTGAGAACAGAACAGCCTACTAGCCAAGCACCTCCAGATTTGGAACACTCGTCCAAATATACTCGAGAGATCGATGTGGGACTTGTCGGCGCTGCATATGCAGTAGAGACGCTGCCACAACAGGAAACAGCAGAAGCCAATGATGAGGTGGCAGCAGTTCTAGCATCTGAACTTTTGCCAGAGGAGAGCAAGGAAATTGAGGAACACGATGAGCCTGCCCTTGTTCCAGCCGAGAATTTCGTCTACAGCGATGGCCCAGCCAATTCTACTAGGGCTGAGACGGACCGCGAAGCTTGCCTTCATTCTGCTGAGCTTGCTCAGAAGCATCAAATTGACGGCAAACCTCGGGACGAGTATGGCGCGGTTCCGTTCGCTCCATCAATAGGTCACTCCCCAACCATGAGCGACCATCCAGCGCCTGGAGCTTCACAAGAATCCCCCAAACAAGCGATGAGCCTTGATCCGGCTGAAGTCAGTAACATTGATAACTCCGCTGAGGTTTCCAGGTCCCATCTGGACACAGAAGGAAACTCTAGCTTACGAGCCGTTCCTGTCAAAAAGCCTGATGAAGCTATGCACACAGGCACACTCACAAGCTTCAAGGATCTGGAGTTGTTCGAGTCAACGGAACCTCCGCACGATGTCACCACGCGATCAGCGACAGATATCCCTGATTCGAGAAAGAACACCTTGGATGTTTCTCTACTTGATGCACATGCTGAGCTGTTCCAAGAAGGTCTTGTCGGCATTAGACCAGCCGATGAGAATGCCATACTTCCAGAGAAGAAAGAACAGGAGAAGCGGCCAAAGCTGAATTCGGATACTACTCCTTTCGTACTAAGCGATGTCAACAAAGGCTGTGTAGTCTTGGAAGATGCCCAAACACAACAGGAATTTCAAAACCAGCCAAAGCCTGCTGATGCAATATTGAACAATCCTCGTGGAACCAAGCCAGGAACCGGACTTCTGACCACTGACCAGGCTAAAGCAGCACCAGCCGAGTCGGGCGATATCTTCTCGGAGCTAGAACCACCATACGGGGTAATGCCCATGACAGCCGCAACTGAGATCGAAAGTAACTGTCACCCCGCTATGCCTGACGAATCAAATCTACCATCGAAGCAAGTTGAGGAAGCTGCTCAGATGGAAGACTCAATCACATCGCATTCCCAGAATGATAAGAACACAAAGACGGGCTACGCTTCTGAGACGTTAATCACAGAAGAGAAAGCTTCCCAAGAGCTAGCAGTCCGGAAACGCATCGACTTCCCCGGAGCTTCTGGCGGCAAATCGACTCTGGATGATTCAGATTTCGATGATATGGCCCAAGTAGTTATGTCCAACCTCTCCCTTGTGCCGGAGACCTCGGAGACCGACCAGGCACCGTATCAGGCCACACAAGGAAAGCAGCACCTCGAAAGCAAATACAGGGATGACTCTGTTGTTGATTTCATCATCGCCCAGAAGGAAGAAGCGCATGTCCCTCTTCAAGATTCTGGTACTGGAAATTTCACTGTCAAAACTGCACAAAGTCCTCCGACATCGACAGGTAGATCTTCTGCTTTTGGCAAAGGCGGGCCGTCACTGGCGCAGGTTGAGGCAAATGCATCTATTGGACCCTCACCAGGACAGCTCTCTGAACCTTCACCTGCTGCCGCAGAAGATCCGCTCGTAAAATTAGCCCTAAAGAAAAAGAAGCAACGGCAAACGAATCATGAATCTCTCGAGGCAGCAAGAGAAGGGAATCAAGGACTGCTATCTAATCAAGCTATTTCTGGCCACCCTGTCAACAAACAACTTCTCTCAGAACCGAATGCCCTAGCTTCCAAAGAGCTTGTGACAACGGAAGTGTTAGACGATACACGGCCAATGCTGGTGAAGACGGAATCTGAGAATAAGAAAGAAACAGACAAGCAGCCGCAGGACGGTGTCCTGGCCCATTCCGAGGCTTTTCAGCCCCAATTGGTAATCAAAGGTCAGCCAGATAGAGCCGTTCAAGCTGCATCAGGTCCTGGAACAAGTGATAACGCTCCTGCTCCGACAAAAGATAGTTGCTTAGGCCCGAAATCCCCTTCGGCAACTCCCACCCTGCAACATATTCCCGCAACTACACTTGTCCATGAGACAGCGGACGAAAATACGGAGATGACGCCAGCTTCCAAGAGCCATTCGATTACGGCTTGGCCGGAAGAGATAAAATCGAGTGGAGATGTACCTTCTAGAGGCATGGCCTCTGAAGAGAGAAGCAACGCCTCCAATGGGCCATCGAGTTTGACAGCGACAGCGACAGAGTCGCCTAACATCAAATCGGTTGACAAGTCGTTGAATAAAGAAATGAAGAAAGCCCAGAAAGTAGGGTTGGAACCTAGATCCGCTGGACCATCAGTCTCTTCGGAACATGGACCTGCCATTGATCGAGATGCCCAGTTCTCTTTTGCAAATGATGCAACACAGCTGAAAGAGACTGACAGATCATTGCCACAACAAACCTTCGATGCAAAGGAGGGAAAGACGGCCTTGACAGAAAGCGAGTCCACTTCCATGTTTCCAAAGGGATCTCCTGATGCGAACCCGCAAGCCATAAAAGAACCTACGGAACAGCCTGTACGCTCCCCAGAAGCTACAGCCGCCACCTCAGAGGTTTTGAAAGATGAACCAGACCCGCACAAATTGAGCAAGCCCACTACGTCGACTTTTGCTGGGATGATGGCAGCCACTGCCGCAACGTTCAGCTCTGCCATGTTCGGGAACTGGGTAGAGGGTGACAAGAATAAAGGGGCAAGACAAGATGAAAAGAAACCCGAAAGCAGGGATAAGACCCTGGAAAAAAGGAAGAAGGAATCGCAAAATGATGAGAAAGCAGCAACAAAGGGCCCAAATGACACCAAGTTACCTGCGGAAGCTATCGACAAAAGGATACAGGGAGAAACCCCAACGCACCGAGAAGTCCAGGATGCGAGGAGGAAGAGGCCAGAAAAAGACTTCGCTAGTGGCAGTGTTGATCACAATGAAAGGCACCATAACATTGTTACAGATGCTAAAGACAAGAGCGAACTGGCAGAGACAAAACCAAAAGCTTCAAAAAAGACAAACAAGGTTACATCGTCTGCTCACGAGACGTTGTTCGATGCGCCAGGAAAGAGTAGGCGCTCAGAAAGCTACGAGGGACCATCGCAAGTTCTTAGCACATCGAAAGCTCCTTCAACGAACCCGAAGAAAGAGCACAAATCAACTTCGCGGCAATTATGTGCAGAAACTTCAGACACGATAGAAAGTCCGGTGCTTGGCAAAGGAGAGTTGGAGCTTTTGAGAAGCTCCCCCCAGCCTCTTCTTCGTCGTGGATCTGACGTTGAGGAGCCTAAGAGCGGTCTGTTACGAGAGGATAGCAAGACATTTACACCACTGGTGGGATCGGATTCGGATATTAGTGACATACGCCGATCGCCAAGCAGACTCTTAGAGCCAGTCCCAGAGGTTCCCGAGGCCGAAGTTGAACCCGCCAAGGATGCGTTCTCAACACCAGAAGCCAAACGCGACAGCGCTCCTGTTGGCGAGGCACTGAGCTTCCAGAGACGAAGTAGACGCTCGAGCGAAGAGGCACATCGTGACAGTGGATTCGGAGGGGAATTAGCCAGTCTAAGGCGAAGCAAACCTGCTAGTCAAGAGGCCTCACGCGACAGTGGGTTACATACCGAAGACTGGGCTGAAAGGGAAAGTCAGATACAGCCAGTTGCAGACCGCGCGGTGTTGCAAACTCCTGATCCGCCGAGCGAGCGAAGACTTCGTCGATCCCCGCGAGGTACACCGGTATTGCGAGAGCCTGCAGCACCTGGACCAACACCGGAGCCAGAAAAGAAGAAACAATATGGAGCCCTAACTCCAGCTGGCACGGCAGTTGCCGCCGTAGCAGTGGGTGCGGGCTTAGCGGCAGCCCTACGAGGACCCGAGCCTTCAACACCAGTTCCGATTCCGACTACGAGTCCCAACCCGATCCTATCATCAGTTTCTGGTCAGAGAAGCGCTTCAGACGATGCCACTCCTTCTCGTCGGTCAACACCTCGTCTCGAGGGTTCAGGACGTCGAACTGTCTCTAACACCAGCCTCTCTCGGCGTCGGACCCCGGAGCCGCTTAAGTTGAGGCCTGATAGCCCAGGCATCAACCGCTCCTCAGGCACCCCCACACCGCCGCTCCGCCGTGTTGACAAGCGAATGAGCAGTGATTTGCGGGCTCTTCGTCAACAAAACACCACCGCCGCCGCACCCGTCAGTTCCACGCCTGTCGCAAATGAGGGTCGCGCCCGTGCCAAGGACATGGCCGACGTCTATGTAAGTCTATCACCAACTTTCATCCTAATGTAACATGGCACTAACAACAACACAGGATGGCTTTGGTGAGGGTCGCATCGGCTCACCCCGATCACCAACCCGGCCACACAGCATGCGGCGCCGACAAAGCATGCAGGTCCTTGAACTCGAGAATAAGGTCGAGCAGCTAATGGCCGAGAACCGAATGCTCACCGAAGCCCGTGCTATGGCTGAGACGAGCCTTAGTCAACGAGCCGCCAGCAGTTTAGCCGATCGCGATGCCGAAATCGACAATCTCAAGCAGTCATTACAATTTCTTCAGAACGAAGTCTCTAGACTTTCAGAAGTTAACGATGGTCTTGCAAGCGCTAACGCCGAGCTTGCAAGTAAAGACAATGGCCATGTAACTGATCTTGAGAGTCGCAATGCCGCTGTCGCGCGTGAGCTGGAGGAAGCTCGACGCGAAAAAGGCAACACTGAACAGTCTCTTGAAGCAAAGGATGCAGAAATTGCCGAGCTTCGTGCCAAACTTGATTCTGCTAAGGAGAAAATTCGTGATCTTCAACGCCAGATTTTAGAAGCCAAGGCTGGCGACGATCATTTTCTCAATATCCGCGACGAGGATCATTTTGACCATCGTTGCCAACAACTGTGTTCCCATGTTCAGCAATGGGTACTTCGGTTCTCCAAGTTCTCTGATATGCGCGCCTGCCGCTTAACAAGCGAAATAAATGATGAGAAGACAATTGATCGACTCGACAACGCCGTACTCGATGGATCCGATGTCGACGTTTATCTTCGGGACCGCGTGAAGAGACGCGATATCTTCATGTCCATGACCATGAATATGGTCTGGGAATTTGTCTTTACCCGCTATCTTTTTGGCATGGATAGAGAGCAGAGGCAGAAGCTCAAGTCACTGGAGAAGCTGCTGACCGAAGTCGGCCCTATCGAAGCGGTACGCCAATGGCGCGCCGTTACCTTGACTTTACTGGCGAAGCGCGAAAGTTTCAAGCGTCAACGTGATCTGGACACAGAGGCCGTTGTTCAGGCCATCTTCCAAACACTGTGTAAGATACTCCCACCACCGTCGAACTTGGAAGATCAAATTCAATCTCAGCTGCGACGTGTCATGAGAGAGGCTGTTGGTCTCTCGATTGAGATGCGGACGCAAAAAGCTGAATATATGATGCTGCCGCCTTTGCGCCCTGAATACGACGCGGACGGTGAACTAACCGCGACAGTTCAATTCAACGCATCAATGATGAATGAACGAAGCGGCAGCATTACAACCTCAAATGAAGACCTTGAGGCACAAGGTGCCATAGTTCGGGTTGTGCTTTTCCCACTTGTAGTCAAAAAGGGAGATGATAATGGCAAAGGCGACGAAGAGATAGTGGTATGCCCTGCACAGGTTCTTGTGCCCCGCTCCAAGGGTCTGTTTGGCGGCGCAAGTGATGGTGGAAGCACTTCCATCGGTGCTCGGAGTCATATTAGCCTTGTGACTGAGACAATGGGTCAAACTGAGGTAGATTATGTAGATTAAGGGATACAGGATATGGGAAGATACCACTTGGGAAAAGGATATAGGCGGTGTTTTGGTCTTTGGAATTCTGGGGACAAACGCATTACTAGCAAGGATTTCCTTTGTTTATTTCTGGTCTGGATGAAGGGGAAAGGGTCTCACGCTCTCAGATTTATGTTTTATGTTTCGCTTTTCCTATCGCCTTTTCACGCCACGGGTTGACCCAAGGCAGTTCAGTCTTCGATTTTACACGTCTTATGATATTTTCCCGCTTTTCTTTTGCTATTTATTTTTGTCTGTAATGATATTTGATGTATGGGCGCCCAAGATTCTAAATTAGTTAATAATGATACGGTCTCATGATTTCTCCGTCAATAGTCTGAAATACCTTTTGATTTGTTCTTGCAAGTTGTCTTGCATCACATAGATCCAAATTATCTATTATCCCCAACAGATTATCAGGCATGTGTATCAAAAGCTATCTACTGCCCGATAAGCGATTCTATTTTCACGTTCGCTCCTCTAGTCTTCGGGGCTTTGAGATATGCCAAATACCACATGAACCCATACTCACGAGGCGCTGGGCGTTTTTAACCCTTGTCATGAAAATTCATGAAATACTTTCTTCTTCTCTCCTTGGTGTATTATACGTTAACGTAAACCGCGTCATGCATTACCTAAAAGCTTGAACCTATCCCGTAGTTGGCCTCTTCCTTTCGTCGTTGACCCCTCATGATAGATTCCAAAGTACGTTCATCTTCCACCCCGTTGTCGTCCTTTTCTCGAGAATCCTTGCTCTCGATGGCGTACCTAACTCGTCCAATGGGTGGCAGAGTCTGCTCCCATGCTTGCCGAAGAGGTCTTTTCAGGTTCTCATCCAGAGTTGGTTGCACTAAATAGTCTGAGAGCTCCGTGGTCTGTTCTTCTGATTTGGAATGCGCCTCCCTCGTTGGCGCTGGCATCCGTGGTAACCCCCCTCCTCTACGCCTGTTGGTCCATCTCCACCCATCGAGTGAGAGAGCAACCTTTGCTGCCTGCTCTTTTCCGTAGAAATGCCCAATCTTTTTGACCAAATATCGAAGTCGTGTCTTACGGCCCATCTTACCCTCTTCAAGATCTTGAAGCAGAATCTCAGCTAGAATTTGCATCGCAGGCTGTGACATATGCTGCCCAGTCCTTTTGCCCCAGTTGATAGCGGTTTCGATATATCTAAGGCGCTGTCGGGCTGTCAGGCCGGGCTTCTTCATGTAGAAGTGACAAATCTCTTCCAGGAAGTCCATCATAAACACAAGGTTGCGTACGATGGGGGCTTTAAGCCGGGTAGTAGTCTTTGATGAGCAAAACTCGGCGATCTGCCATATGAGGTCTGGTGGTAGGTCCGGATGCGTTACTATAGCTTCTGCATGTCGTGCCCACATGTACCAAGGGAATTTATGCTTAACTGACGCTCCTGCATTATAAGATTCCCACATCATGACGGCACAATACGGGTCCTTCTCCATCTTCATCATATCTTGTATAACCCCATGACGATCGCTCACCAGTCGAACCGACTTGATCAATGTATCAAGGTGTCCGAAGGTTTCGCTTGTATGTGTAAGTGCCCTCAAGTTCGCTATGCGTTTCTTGGTTTCGCGATGGCGAGAATCTTGAAGCATTGCTGCCCAGCAGTGTAACTGTGTAGGCCCGGCAATCCATTTGTATAATTGCTCAGGCCGTATTCCTCCCTGTGTCGTGTTCATTAGACGAATAGCCATGAATTGCCAAACTTCTGATTCTACCCAATCTTGCATGCTACGAACGTTGCCAGCGAGAGTAGAGAATTCGCCTGCCTTGAGACCTGGGACTGCCGCCAATTTCAAAAATAGCTGAAAAGCTAACGTGCGTTGGTCTGTGGTCTCGTCGACGAACTGAAAGCAATGTTTGGTCAAAGCTTCAAATGCCTCCATTTGCGTCAGACCTCGGGCAGAAATCAATCGAGTCAATTGCATACTGCGGCGTACGAGTCGGAGTGATATAGGCCGTGTAGGATATTGTTCACCCTGTGTCATTTCCAGTCGGTTATGGCTATGCATTAGGTCGAGGTAGTCAATTGTCTCTAGTTGTATTTTTTCGTATAGAGCAATAAGTCTCAGAAGCTCCTCGAGGCAATGGAACGTAGAGGGCTGGGGTGCCATATGCAGTATTGTTTTGAGGCACTGGTGCCAAACATGGCTCCCATACAAATCTTCAGTTGAGGTGGTCCGGGTACGATACATAGCGTGGATTATGTAGACCCATTGTTCGGCAACCCTCCTATCGAGGACTTTGCCCGGTACTCGTTGCTTAAGATGGTTGTCGAACGGATCAAGAGCTTGGATAAGGTCGTCGTTGGAAATCGCCCTTTCCTCGACCATCTTCAAGATCTGAAGAATGTAGGGCTCGCAAATCTTTTTTAATGTGTTTTCGTCTTCGAAGTTGTAAAATTTGGCGAGCCGCTCGTTCATATCACCTCGGGCCTTTTCTATTGATGTTGGAGTCACTGCTGCAGGTATCATAACCGCCTCCGGTGGTGGCGTAGCAGTTGCAAGGTTGGTATTTTCTTCGTGTCCCATGTCCTCGAGGTTCCTGAGAAAGCGCTCGAACAGACCAATCTTTTTTTTGTGACGATCATTCGGTGCAACAGGAGCCTCCCAAGTCCACTCGCCGAGATGAACGGGCATTTCGATCCTCCAAGGAAAGGGTGAAGCATGGGAATTGGGTACAACGGCAACCATATGTCGCTTGCCCAAACGACGTCGGCTCTCGAGAGGCCCAGCATATGAGCTCAAGCATCGACTAGGAATGGGATTGACGCGTTGGAATCGCTCAATGGCTTGGGCTAATAGGGTATTGGAGATCCAGATGCCACCTGGTGAGCCTGCGACAGGACACACACCCGTGCGGCGGTACAATGCGAGATAGTGCATCATCGAAGCATTGGTATTCCTCGAATCGCGGGGCACAGTATCGGAATTCGGTTCATGTCAGCATCGTGGGTATGCTCTGCGCAAAATCCACGTCAGAGCTGGTTCTTGGAAGGTAAGGTACCTTGGTGAAGGTGGGTGATAGAACTTTCAATTCGGAGTACGAATGATGTCCCACACACAACTGGCCAACCAGAAAAATGATATTACCCCAGGTTCTTTGAGTTCCATAAGCTAGCGAGGTACCTTAACTAAGTGAATGCCTCAGGCGCTATCATTCATTATCTATCTTGCTCCACAAACGAGTCCCTGGCGGCATCTAGCATCTCCTGGCTCTGTCATAAAGGCTCGAAGGGGATGGGCCTCAGGGAGCAAGAAAACATCAGACCTTGATATAAGGTTTCAAAACAAACTTGTTAAAGAGTTCCCTAAGCTTAGGCTAGATTTACCTAAATACTTTCATCACTTAGGATCAAGGCTCTGAGTTTTCTTTCCTCCTCTACCTACCTAGGTGAGCAATAAGACTTGAGACCTTGACCAGAGCGCCTAGAGGGTGCAAGAAAACTATAGATCTCTATCCCATCGTACGATAGGTCATAAAAGACCGAAGTGAGTTTAGTATACTTTAGCAGGCCTTTAGAGATTTTTATCGTAGCTTTAGATAATGTTTGGAAGTTTTGTTGCTCCCAGGGACGTTGGAAGACAGTGATAAAGGCATCCAGAGTTCATCTTCGACTTACCTGACTGCCTACCTTAATTTTGTCACTTCAGGTTCTCTTGGGGTGAACATATGTTCAGAAGCTCCGGAGCCCCTTTTGCCAGATGCTGATACGCTGTGTCTTGGGTCGTCCCTGCGTCTCCCTGCACCTTATTACGTCTTCCGCAGTTGACTGCATAAATAGTACCAGTTCGGCTCGAAATTACATCTGACAAGGCTAAACTTCAAGCTTCCGGGGTCCATATACTTTCCGTCAAGGTTGCGGCGCTTTTGACAGGCACTTGATAGCCACACGATCCCTGCCGCGGCTCCGGCTGGCCACTACGGTGTGCGTGGAGCTCCCCTAATTGGCAACATCAACGAACCAGCCTGTCCCTGCTCGCGCTCGTCTAATACTCCGTAATCCGTCCATATTGTTTGTCGCCTTCTCCTGAACACATACTCGTACTGGTTTAATCAACATCGCAACAAGATATCACATACGACACTGTCACTCTGCATCGATCAGCACCGCTCGATGGCTCTGTGTGACTGCTTATCGACACCGACGACGTCACAGAGAAGCTAGATGGAGCCCGTGGTGTATGAGGAGACTCCGTTCGCCGACTACCTCAGAGGTGAGCAAGCGTCGCTCTCCCTTGCGCGCGATATCGCTTTCCCTTATGTGGACTAACATATCTCAAGATGGGGGAGATGAGCCCCAGGCTGACTGGGCGCCCGGTGCAGTAACGCCCGAACTTGATTCATCCGCTGGTCGATCAAGCCCATCACCGCCATCCAGTCCATCACCTTTCGCACCCACCGGCCGACCTTTAGTTAAACCAAGATTCCGAAATAAGGCTCCGAATGGGCTTCATTTACAAGTTCCTAAGCCCTCCTCATTGCGATCTGCTAGCAGGAAATATTCAGTATGTCACCTCGAACTGGTGTGACCTGTCAACGATTGCTAAAACCACTTGCCATAGGCTGCGGTTGCAGCGAGTATCGACCGAGCTGACAACGCCAAATTTCTCGAACAATTCCGATATACAATCATTGCGTCTCAGCTTTTAAGTGGCCATTCGGGCCTGGGGCAGTCGCAGCTAGATAATAGGGGACCTAGCCCGCCAACGAACGAAGACGAATCCCTATTGTCCACGGAAGGAATTCTGGCATCAGTTCTTGCCGCTCTTGCGGTCGCGGTTGTTCTGAGTTGGGTACTTGGAAGTGGTGTTACCAAGAAGAGGCTGGTCTTTCTTCTCGTGCTTTGCGCAGCGGCCGTCCTGCTGGGCCAGGTTTACATGAAACGACAATGGCTCCGGTATCGAAGATCGCAATCGCTGTCTGAAATCACGTCTTTCGTGGAAAACTCACACAACTTCGACAGTGCGTCAGGTGCAGCTGTCTCTCTTATACAAGAAGTCGAGTTAGTGTCTCGAGGTTACAGACTGTAGGTCTTTCATTTCCTTACCACCACATGCACTGAACAATTTACAGCAGCGCTCCCCTTCCACCAATCAGCCGTATAGAAGACCGTACCCAAACCCGGCGTTGTGTCAGACTGCGCAAAGCCCTGAGACATTCTTTCCAAGAGGTTCTTGATTCCTACAACCAGGTTTGTACAGTTGTCAACGGATTCGCAGAGCAAACAGACTTGGAAAAATATTATGATATATACGACATTACCGATTTCGACATGTCAGACGCTCGTCAAGGACTAAGTGATGAGGATCTGGACGATCCTGAATCCTTGAGAACCCTGAAAATCCTGGCTGCTCGATTCTCCACCATACGTAAATTATTCCTTTGCGCACTGCTTGCTCTGGATGCCAACAGTGACGCAAATGATCTGCTTCGTTGGACAACGGCCGTAGAGTCTCTTTTGAGTGTGAACAGCTCAACTCAAATTGCCCATGCTAGGATACAGAGCATTCTCAGCGAGCAAGACAGTAAGAATACGATGCAAGTCATCATTTATTGGTCATATGCTTACGCTTCTCTAGCTTTTCCGTCCTCCCCTACACCAAAGAATGCCCTGACGCCTGGGCGGGAGCGCTGGAGGGCTCAACTTCGGAAACTTAATTCACTATCAAGCGGAATCAGGGGTCTACAGGCAAAGCTGCAGCTGCTTCGTGAAGAATCTGACAGAACTCTGAACGATTCGAACGACATTTCGGAGCTCGGTCCGAATCTAATGGCACAATATGAGTCCATCGGCCTGGATCTGAAAGACCTGATGACCGCATGGGAAGAGGGCAGGGCTGCTTTGGCACTCGGCATCGATAGAAACGAGAAGAGGCTTTCATCCATGAGTACTCTGCTGTCACCTGTTAGTTCACTTAGTGGACTAACTACTGTGGACGAGAATGGCGGGGCTGCAGCAGCTCTCAAAGCATTGACTGGCGAGTCTCCGCCTAGTTCTGAGTATGCTGGTTCGGCTGAACAGGAGGCACCCGAAGTTTTCGAAGCCGTTGCTCTCCCGCGACCACGAAGCATGCTCACTCGAGAAGAAAGAATAGTCAAGGTTCGGGAAGAACGAGAACAAAAGGCTCTTGCCCGACAGCATGTTGATGCAACCAAGGGTATGCTCCGGGAGCTAGAGACAGTTATTAACCTACGACCTCGAACTCGTGCCAGCGCACCAGCAGGTCGGATTGTGTCAATGTAGGGGTATCAATTTTATGAAACAAACATCACGATAATCATCTTCAACACTTTCCAATCGCTTTCTCCTGCCTTCATCGAGGACAAAACAATCGTCTGATTCGACACCAAACCGGTTTTTTATTCTTGCTATCGACTTATGAAAAATTCACATTCGAGCTCCACAGACACATCAATATGTCAAGCACAGGTAGCGTCACGACGATACGCACAATTCTCTATAAACGACACTATTATATAGACAAGCCATGGATGGCTGCGGCGTTTCAGGTTCAGGGTTGGGGATCTTGGTTTTGTATTATTTGCCTGCTATCATCATTCTCGGAGATCAGGTTTTTGGCGACACACAATCGCATCAACGTGCCCTTATGGACGGTAGCTGTAAGGCATATGCACTATAAATCGGTCTCTTGGGAAATTATGCGTTCCTCATTGCCGGGCTACTTATTTCTTTCAATGTTGATCAAGGGGGGCTTATTCCTGGCAACATATGTATGATAACTACACCAACCTTATACTAATAGGTCATTGTAAGGGTACATTCTTACCTACTTAGGTTAGGGAGAACTTCGGCACTGGCTGATTTCTCACTAATGGCCATTGGTGCCTTAAGGTATCTAGGTAGGTAGTAGTAACTCGAAGAACTGGAAAGAGGCTCGAAACCTACCTGGGTACAAAGATACTTCTGCGGTTCGCACCTGCCCTGTCCGATAGAGGCCAAAGGATTGAGGAACTCTCAGCCAGAAACTAAGGTGGGCATTCGTCTCTAGGTGTTTGAACTAAAATATCCCTCTTCAGCCATGATCTTATATATATACGTACTAATACAATTTGTATAGTAGTTAGAACTTTGGATCTCTAGAATAAGCGATTAGTATAAGCAAGGTTTACATACCTTAGATACTCAGCAAAATGGAACTTATACTAAACTAATACTAAAATTAGGTACCCAAGTCTTTTTTGTCATTTATTAGGATCAAAGTCCAGAGTTTTCTTTCCTCCCCTAGGAAAAATCCGCCGCCAACGCGACGCGTCGGTTGTTTGATGGTCGCGCGTTAAGTGGCCCCCACCTGCCAGCTAGCGTAAAGCAGCCTGGCAATTTCGCGACAAAAGCACATTGCTACCTGCATCTTGCATTTCATCCACCAGACAACCTCCCATACTCCTTCCGTAACCATAACACGCCTTACTTTGCGAGCCATTTCGCTCACTTACTCTTTGCCTATACTCGCTGTCCCTATCTAGCCACAATCTGCCAACACATCTTTCAATCAGTCAGTCATCCCAAGTAGCGAACACCCCACCCTTTTATCTATGCGTGGCAGCTTCACGTCTCGTGTGGGCACGTATCAGTGGTATGCTAACAGATAAATAGATATGTTGGAATCACGACTCGCCCAAGCTGATCTTCTGAAGAAGGTCGTCGACGCAATCAAGGATCTGGTCCAAGATTGCAACTTCGACTGCAATGACAGTGGTATTCAGCTGCAGGCCATGGACAACTCTCATGTTGCCTTGGTTTCCATGTTGCTTACTGCTGGATCCTTCGAGATGTTCCGCTGCGACCGTAATATCTCCCTCGGTGTCAACCTCACATCCCTGACCAAGGTCCTACGCGCTGCTCAGAGTAACGACGTGCTCACGCTCAAGGCTGAGGATGCCCCTGACGTGTTGAACATGCAATTCGAAAGCCCTGAAAACGACCGCATCAGCGAGTATGACCTCAAGCTCATGGACATTGACCAGGAGCATCTGGGCATCCCCGACACCGAGTATGCTGCCACAATTGCAATGCCTTCTGGCGAGTTTCGTCGCATCTGTACCGACTTGATGGCTATGTCAGAATCAGGTTAGTTCTTGCAAGGCTCGCTTTGTACTTGCCTACTGGATTGTTATTTAACACATTGGCAGTGATGATTGAGGCTTCCAAGGACGGTGTCAAGTTCGCATGCAATGGCGATATTGGTAACGGCTCAGTGACTCTTCGAAGCCATGAGGATGTCGAGAAACCCAAACAAAGTGTCACAATTGAGTTGACCGAGCCTGTCGCCCTTACCTTCTCCCTCAAGTACCTGGTCAACTTCTGCAAGGCTGCTGGCCTTTCCGATCAGGTCCAGATCAAGCTCTCTAATGAAGTGCCCCTCTTGGTGGAGTACAATCTGGAAGGTCAAAGCCATCTGCGTTTCTATCTTGCGCCCAAGATTGGCGATGAGGAGTAGAAGACTGCCATAATGTAATACAACATCATCCTGCTAAATGGCAGAAGCTCGGCGCTTGCGGTCGCAATGATACCACCCAACAGTTCCGACAAAACACATGTCAAAGAGGGCAATACAAGGAATACGGACCCCAAGAAGTTAATCTGATTATTTGAGGCCTTTTTGCAGGCATCAAAGGCGTGTGCCAAGGAAAAGAAATGTAAACGAACGGGTTAGATAGGGAATACAAGGGCACCAATTCAGGAGCTTTAGTCCCTTGTTGACCATGATGATAAATGATAATATGAGATCGTGCTTCTCTAAGCCAACGGGGGCAAGAAAACTGAAGGTACCTCATCTATCCGAGTTGATAAAGACTTAAGTGAACTCAGACTGATATTTTTTTTTCCGACCATGGTCCTACCTCAAGGCTAGAAATTTGTTTGCTTCTGGAGGGACAGCGTGTACCTGAAGCCATTCCTGTATTTTACCTAGAGTTATTCATTGGTCAAAAAGAAGCCTGCTGCGCTGGCGGGGCACACAACCAAATGGAAGTCACTCGCTATCAGCTCAAAAGCGTAGAGAAAAGGCTGTCCTGGCTGCAGTTGAGCTAATCGCTCGGTTCATCATTCAGTTCGATACTAGGCAAGAGGTAAAGTGTTCTGAAGGTTCTATTTTCCAAATCTCGTACATCCAGGTAAGTAGGTAGTTAGGTTAGTAGCTTGTTAATGCTCCAGGCTTAACCCGATTTCCTCAAGTTAACTAAGGTACCTCAGGTAGTGACTAATATCGAGCGACATACAGCTCAAAAGACGCCGCAACTAAGTCCCAGAACTAATTTACTTCCTTGAGTCAGCGACAGATTTTCTCTTCTGTTCTTTCAATCTTTACAGATAACGCTAAAGCTTCTCGTTTCATTCGAGCTTCGGTATTTTAGGCTTCTACTGCAGAATCGTCCGCTGACACCGATTGAGAGGTTTTGTTCAGTGACGATCCCACAAGGAAAATCTTTGGTTACCCAGGCCTGCGTAGACATCTATTCAGAACGCTTGCTGAATATCAAGGAGAGACCGAGGGATTGAACAGGTGCTTCTGGTATTATGTCCACCATCCCAACAATACCCGATACACGGGTTCTCGCTGTGGCAAGCCATGTATGTATGCCATCAAATATGCCGTCGCTTTCAACATCTTGAGCCAAGGCTGACAGGTCGTTGCTATAGGTTGTCTCTGGGTAATTATCTTTTTTCTCTCTCGGGGTCACAGTGACTTATATGCACTAGATATGTCGGTAACAAGATTGCCGTCTTCGTGCTACAGTCTTTGGGATGTGATGTCGCAGCTCTCAACACCGTACAGTTCAGTGAGTATTCATGTCATCTCGATCGGTGGAGTGAAACAGTAAACCAGGTTTCTAACTCGCGGACTTCACCTGTAAAGGTAACCATACCGGATATAAGCAATGGAAAGGAACGAGAGTATCAGCACAGGAGATCATGGATCTCTGGGAAGGACTGAAGCAGTCGTACCTAGATGATTTTGATGTGATGCTTTCTGGATATATTCCAGGCGCTGCAGCCGTCGATACGGTCGGTAAGATAGGTCGTGAACTTAAGGAAAAGTCAAGCAAAGCACCTGGCAAGTTCTTCTGGGCTCTCGACCCCGTCATGGGTGACAATGGAAAGATCTACGTCTCCGAGGAAGTAGTGCCAGCATACAAGAGGCTCATCCACGATGCGGATCTGATTCTTCCAAACCAATTCGAGGCCGAGTATGTTTAAGAGCATTTGCCGAGACTTGAGAGACTCCAACTGACAATTTTTACGAAAAGGCTGCTATCAGAAGTCAAGATCCGTGATATGGACAGTCTCCAAAAGGCTATTCAAGTGCTCCACGACAAGTACAAGATTCCCCATGTCGTCATTACTTCCGTCAACCTTGAGGCGCCAGACCATCCGCCTTCGCATCTCGCTGTTGTTGGTTCAACCATGACATCTACCGGCAAAGCTCGCTTTTTCAAGATTGTCTTCCCATCAATCGATTGTTATTTCAGTGGCACAGGCGACATGTTTGGCGCTCTTATGGTAATCCGAATGCGTGAGGCTGTCTTCAATGCTGACGAGCGGCTGCGGCATACCGCCAGCTGGCTTAGCGACGATTCAGTATCGGCTATTGAACTACCCCTTGCACGCGCTGCAGAAAAGGTCCTAGGCAGTATGCATGAGGTTCTATCCAAGACCTGCGAGGGCATGAAGAGGGTGGTTGAACGAACAACGGACGACATGAAAGATGAGGATCGTATTGACCAAACTAAGGCGCACCTCGTAAAGAGTAAGGCGGCAGAACTTCAACTTGTGAGGAATCTGGACTGCTTACGCTCGCCCACGACGCAATACCTTGCGAAGGCCATTTAGATCTAGTGGGAGGGGGGTTGTCCAAGGTTACAATGGCCACCAAAGTAGAAGCCAGCAATAGAAATGGGTAGAAAGGTTTTGGAATAGACGTCTCGTCATGAATTCACCCAAGGGTTTCACATCTCTTGTGAAGGTCGAATAATTCACTCTGGGAGCTTCTCTTGACTCTTGAATAATCAGCCTTCCTTAACTGTGGACTGTAAATCTATTGCATTGGCCCACAACCTAATTCATTAATTGATGAAAATTGGCAGAAGAGAAGTCTGCATAGGCTCCTTGACTATCTAACCAGTGCTGCCGAAGCCACCAGCGCCTCGGACACTCTCCTCAAGTTCTTGGACCTCCACAACCTCGGGGGTGTAAATGCGCTCCAGAACAAGTTGAGCAATGCGGTCGCCCTCCTTCACTTCAAAGTCGGATTCATTATGGTTGAAAAGCAGGACCTTGACCTGACCGCGATAATCGGCATCGATGACACCAGCGCCTGTGTCAATGAAATGCTTGGAAGCGAGACCCGAGCGAGGGGCAATGCGTCCATCTGTATTCATCATCTTGTCAGAAAGCCGGCCTTAAGCTGGTTGATGGAGGGCTTAAATAATCATGTACTTACAGGTTCCGGCAGGCACAGCCATACTGATATCAGTGTCAACTAGCGCCTTGCCACGGGCGGGAATAGTTGTGTCGCGAGCAGCGTAGATATCATAGCCAGCAGCAAAGGCACTCCCACGAGTAGGCAAACGTCCCTTGTCAGAAAGCTTCTTAATCTGCAGTGGTGGGGGACCTTCCATTGTACCGGCAGTCTTGGCACGTTTGGCGGGAGGTGAAGAAACGGTAGAGTTATCAGGGACGAGAGTCTCGGAGGTCATTATTGAATATGATGTGGGAAAATGAGGAAGCAACTGTCGTGGATACTGTATTCGAAGCTGGAGGTGGACAGACGCGACGCGGTTGGGTGGGTAACGCACCTTGGACTTAAAGAACACAGGGAATATCGATTCTCTCCCATCAGGTTACATAGCCTAGGGTTTGTAGTGGTCTTTCTTAACGAACAGAATTTTTGCTACGGTATTCTTAATCTTATCATCATAATTGTAATTCATTACAAGTGTCAAGGCACCTACTTTTTGTATTAAACAGACAATCTGGCATCTCTGCTGTTTCTGGCGTTCCATATCTAGCGCCTATCACTTACAGAATTGACCAATTAGCAGGACGTACTGTTTAGAGGTTGCTTTTTTATGCTTTGTTGGACCTCATTCCATATGTGGAAGTCTATCAGCCTATCTATTTACCTACTTGAGGTACAATTATGAATTTATGATGAGCTATCCTGAATCACTATACTGTATTCTATACTCCCTAAGCACAGCCGGGGGATTAACTTCTCTCACTGATGACAATAATCACATGTGTGGCTTGATAGAAGCATAACTATAAGACGGGTCGTTCTTGATGCTTTCTTTATATCTGTGACTACCTACTAGGTACTCAGGGTTCCAGATCTCGTCCGAAGTCCACCAGTTTGAGCCTTGTTGCATCTTTAGGATGAAATTGAGCAACCTTGGACCTCACCAAGAACCGTGCAGCCGCAGTTTCACGCGACAATTGCACATATGATGCAGAGTTACTGCCTTGTGCTTCAGCAAGCGTGTTGAGAAGCTCCTCTGTCAGTTGCTTCATCTCTGCAGCTGCAGCTGCAATCTCGCCCTGACGCCCAGTACCTTCATCAGTAGCCTGTCCCCAAATCTCATCGATTCTGCGTTGCCGTTTATGTTCTTTATCGTCACTGTCCTTTGGTTTCCTGAGTTTCCCTTGTGCATTAAATCCGGCGGCCAAATCATCTCCATCAATACCTATAAGATCCCCAACCACAGGCCCTCCTAGCTCTTCTGCCGCAAGCATGGGCGCCAGCTGATTATCGATGAATCGAAGGAGAACTTTCATGAGTTTTGACGTCTCTCTGTCGTAAGACTTCTTCTTAGCCCTGAGTTCTTGCAATAGTTCCTTTGCCCCTTCTCCCGGGCTAACGTGAGTACCCGCGTTCACTTCATCGCGTAACGACAAGATACGCGCATCCAGAGCATCGCCAAGGAGGCTTTGGTCCTTGAGGCGCGCTTCATCCACTTCAAGCTGACGCGACAGTTGTTCATGGCCTGTTCGCTGAGAGGCAAGATAGGATTTGGACTCTTGAATGGTCTGGTGAGTCTTGCGAAACGCTAATAGTGTCGGTAACAGCGACCCTGGCGAGGGGAGAAAGGGATCCGACACTGTCACCTCTTCGAGAGCCACCTGTATGAGACGCGCCTGTCTAGTCGTAGACACTGGGGGTTGGCTTTGCTCTGAACGAAGCTTTAAGAATTTAGCCATTGGTATATTGTGGGCTTTGGAGCGTGAATACCTTGTCCAACTCATTTTCATGTTGCTGGATTCTCTCTTGAAGTTCTCTCAATGTCTGATCAACACTGGCCATGTACTCCTCCTTTGCTGTATACTGCGACCTGTAGTCCATTGTCGTAAAGTTCACGCAACTGGCTCAAGCAATGGGTAAGGCTTTTGAGGTTCCTAGAGCATAAAGGGGGGTAGGAAGAATTGAGACTTGCGAGGATG